ACACACACACACACACACACACACTTGGTAACAGATTAAAGTACAGTGTGTTTTCAATGACTTCAATAACAGTAACTACTGAGAATGTCCTGGACTGGTCAAAGTTGTAAATGTATTTGAATTTGCAAGCCAAAAATTCACCCTCCTTGCTAACCTGTAGATTCTGCGATAGAGAATAGAGAGATAGAGAATTTGTGTATGCACTTTAGTTAGTGCTGCTAACTAAATTCCTGGATATGAGATTTATTTATTTTTATATGGTGAAACCGAATGGTGTCAAAAAGGAACAGGAGGAAAGCGTCCTTTGCCTTGCTCTCCCTCTCACCCACACAAACTCACTGATTGTCTGTCAGATTGACCATCAGCAGCAATGGGAGAAATCTTACTGACGTCGGTGGGCTTTAAAATATCCATAAAGATGTTACGGTCCTTGCCAGACAGGCAGGAATCAGCATAAACTCGGTAGATACCGATTTCACTGTGACCAAAAGTCAATCATCTGGAGATACACTCCCAAGTAATATTCACACCAAGTTTGGTGACAATTTAGCCACTGTGGTGAAGCTTCACAAAACTGTTCCCATTGCTTTTAAGAAATGAGTAATTCATCACCAAAGACTCAGCACATGGGCTGGATGCTGAACTTGTTAAAGTTTTGGTATTGAGTATAATGTATTAAAAAAGCCCAGAGTATGATTTAAACCAAATTTTATATTTCAAGGTTTTTGTTTAGGTTGTTTTTTTGTTAAAGGAAAAGGGGGGTGCACATCCAGTCCTGGTTGATAATACATGTACATGAATGCTATGAGATTTTGACTCTGTCTTCATACGGGCAATAAAGTGATATATATAGAATTTAGTATAGGTCAATGCTGTCTACCTTCTCATGAATTTCCTGGTTGGTCCTGAGCAAGTACTGCTTCTCCTCCACCCACTTTGAATCCTGTCATAACAACCAAACACAACATCAGCAAGAAATGACACCAGCAGGAGCAGGGAGGGAAAGGAACAGGATCCTCGAAAGTGTGAGTGTAATGATCAAAGCTGTCAGCAACACAATCATCCAGCTCAACACCAACAGGCAACACACCACGATGCATCTACTGACTTTCCAGTCGACACGTGCAAATGTAATACAGACACGAACAGGCAGGAACCGAGTGGCAGAAGCACAACTTTATTGATCCAGAGAAATGAAGCCCACTCCAGAGATAACAGGGGTAACAAACATGCATTCACCATCACTGAGACTTCACAGTAACAGGAAGAAGAGAAGGCAACCTGAGCTGAAAATCAGCAGAGCAGCAAATTCAAAATAACAGAGCAGGAGCAAGCCACGGTGGACAAGACAACATGCAGCAAAAACAGAGTAACACAAAGAAAAACTGCATCACAAATGTAAAAACTAACAGATGTTTGTTAATAGTTCCAGTGTTTATAATAAAGATAATTATTAAGCTGCTAATGTAAGCTCTTCTTTTAACATACAGTTTTGGACAGAAAGACAAGGCTTTTCTTCTGACGTGTATAGATTATGCTCAGTTCTGTGAGTTTTTAACAAATTAAATAAACTAAAATTAAGGTAAAAATGTGAATTTTGATATTCTAACAGATGTTAGATATAACTGGATAAAGATCTTGTATAATTATCTACTCACAGCTGACAGGACTTAAAGTGGATCAAGCTAAATCTTAGAAAAACCCAACAGGAAGTGCAGAGGGTGAGGCAGAGCATGCAGGCACAGAGCAGAGACACCACAAGTGCAGGAAGTGACATCACAGGATTCTGCGGCAGACCTGGTCAGCATAGCGCCAGCCCAGGAGCAGAGCAGCCAGACAGACATGCAGGAGGGCCAGTGAGAGCAGGACCACAGAGCTCCAGTCCCCATCCCTCGACTTTGTTACCTGGCCTTTCTCCGCCAGCGCCTTCTCCAGGTCCACGATCTTTGCCTGGCAGCTGCTGAGGTCCATCTGCAGCTGCTCACGTGTCTGTGGGAGGGACAGTCAGCCAACAGGGACCAGAGTTCCAATCAGTCACACAAAAGAAGAACAGAATAGTTGTTTTAATTAGATTGGGAAGTTTAGGGTGATGGTACAAACCCTGGCCTCCCTCTCAGCATCCAGAGAGCCACCGGTCTGCTCTTGCAGGAGAGCGTAGGCCCGCTGGAGAGCCTGGTACTCTCTGGTGAGCTGACGGAAACGAAGCTCTGACTCCTCTCGGGAAACACTCTATGGAAGTTCAAAGTAAGACAGAAACCTTTTCCTTAATTTGTCTGTTATTCTGTAAAATACTTCTAATGATCCGTCTTGTTTGTGTCCAGTTATCGCAATATTTAAGCAGGACATTATAGCGAACTAAAGAATAAAGTTAAAATGATTTCTTTCTGTGTGGACAACACATTTTCTTACCTCTTCTAGATCTTCCTCTGGAGTGGCAGGCGTGCGGTCAGTGAGGTCAGTGTTGTAGGAGGTGAGAGAGGACGTCTCAGAGTCTATGGACTCCTCATCAAATCCAAAATATGTCTCCACAACATGCCTCTGCAGAGAGGAGCAGAGGAGAAAAAGAGGATTCAAACATTGTTAAATCACATTCAATCAAAATGCCTTTTTTTCCAAATAGCAAAAACTAAAATTTAATTTCTATCTCTCCTAATTTCAAATTATAATATTTCCATTTGATCCATAATGCCGATCCACACGTTAAGTATATCAATACAATTCTTACATTCTTCTTTTCACTTTAGTCATCAGCCCTTTTTCCCAAACTGTCAAACTCCTTTCGTTTCTTTCAGTCTAAGCATTTCAGGTTACATCAGATCAAGTTTCCACATTTGTATTTAAATCTTTCTTATTAGTAACAAATCCCAGAGAATCCTCACCATCATGTTTATAAGTCATCTCCTGGCAACCAGAAAAGTAAAGACAGACCAGGGCACACAGGCAAATGAATGAGGAGAAGTAGAGGATGAGGAGGAGGTACTCCGTCATGATGCCACTCGACCAAAAACACTTAACTATAAACAAACTCTTCTGGTTCTGTTCGTCTCTAAAAGACCAACTTCAGATTTTTGTCTCTGAGCTCACAAAGATTTCCAGGTGCAAGTCCAAGAGTCGAACTGTGCTGCCTAACCCCGCAACAGGTACCAGCAGGAGGAAGATGAAGATGGAGGCTCCACCTCCTTGGTCCCCTGATGTTTGAGCCCAAACAAGCACAGTGCCATAGCAATTATTTTTTCCTACAGTCACCTCACCCAATTAGAGATGATCATCTCTCTCTTCTCTCTACTCTCACAAAAGGGAGCACAGATCAGCTAGAACATTCAATTAATGTCCCATCTGTGTCATCAATGTAAACATGGTTATAAAACAAAACACCAAATGTACATGGGCAGAAAAAGCGAATCCTTTTCCTCTGGCTGTGGTTCATGCAGACGTTGCGTGTGTTCTGCTTGTTGCTCCCAGCTGTGAAGAATACTGTCATTATTGTCTCCTGAGCCCAATTAAACACACACATACAAACACACACACAATTAACTGACAACAGTACTTGTGCATCAGTCAACAATAAATCAGGTTGTTGCTTAGTTACACACCACTGGTTCAATGGTTTTTAAAACACTGATGTGTGCTTGCTTACTTTTGACAGTTTGAGAGGTTTCTTCTTGTTCTTCTTGCTCATCACCATTCGGTCACGTTCCTATAAAGACAAGCACACGGCAGATCAACGTCTCAGCCTCACATCTCACAGGAGTTCCTCCGTGAGCTTCATGCGCTTCAGTCGAGACAATAACTGACAAAATTCAAGGTCAAAAGAGAAAGTGATAGTGAAAAATGAACGGTGGTGTTTAGTGAGATGAAGAGGTAACGGTGAAAAGGGAAACTATATAATGGGTGAAATTAGCAGCTTGTGATGCGTACGGCAGTGAATTTTAATGTGTCGAAATCTTCTTCAGCCAATAATACATTCCACCGCTCACAACCATAGCTGCAATACTGGTACAGTAAGTAAAATCCTGACCTGCATGAGCTCGTCAATGATGCCACGTTGCTCAGCAACCTGCAGCTTGAGAAACTCCACTTCCTGTTCCTCGTGGGCATGGCTTAGATCTGTCAGGGAGCTCGGCCGCTTCAGCTGCGGTTGCATTGATTGTTGCTGTGAGGGCGGCCGAGAAGAGGCCTTCTCCTTCTGATGGAGGGACAGAAAATTATTTCATGCATTACCTCAAATGTCCACCGGAGGTCCTGTTTCTATTTTACTATTTGCCATCCAAAGTATCATAGTAAACTTTGAATTCATCTTCAACTAGAGAGAAGAGAGAAAACAGAGAACAGAGGTGAAAGGTGCTGGGTGCAGCTCACCATCTCTGCATTGTCACGGCTCAGGTTCTTGAGTTTTTCCTCCATGCGTTGCAGCGTTTGCAAGAGGTCATCATTCTTCTTGGAGAGACGCTTGTTTTTCTCAAACAGGGGCTTCATCTGGCTCTCTGCCTCTCGCACTCGCTTCAACTGCAGAGGAAGGAAACGGAGAGGAAACACTGATCTTGAGTCTTGTCTTCTAGTGACTCAGAATTTCCAGTTTGAGAAAGAGAAGCAGGATGAAGGCTGGAGGGCTGAGAATGTTCAACGTTTTAATGTGTAATGTTTATGTGGGTACATCTTTGTGCCTTTGCATGCCTACAATCATTTTTTGCATGTACTTTTGCATGTGTGTTCCTCACTAGTTCATTCCTCTCGTCGGCCAGCAGCGCGTTTCTGTCCTCCAGTTTCCTGATGACTGAGTGGAGCTCAGCGATCTTCAGCTGGAACCTTCTGGTGTCACGCTCCTCCATGTCCTGTTGAGCAGGGGGGAGAGGAGAGGAGGAGGAAGACAAGAACTGAAAAAAGGGAAGAACATGCAGGCAGGCAGGTAATGGAGGTGGACAGGAGAGAGGGGGGCATGGGATGGATGAGTTGGAATTTCACAGATGAATTGTGAACCTCTGTGCAGTACACACAAAATTCTCATGCTTTAAAACTATATACCAATTTAAACAACTGGATGTTGTTATCGTTCAGCTTGTTTTGTTCTCTGTTGCTTTAACCTATGTATTTTGCAAAGCACTTTGTAATCTTGTTGAGAAGTGCTTAATATTATTATTCATACAGATTTTGACAAACCTATTTGGCGTAAATGTCTTGTTTCAGTTGTGTGTTCCTGAGACTCGACCCTTCGTGTAATTGGAGCAGACCTGCATTTTTATTTGTTCAGGGCTACAAGACTTTAGGTGACATTAAATATTTTCATATTCTTATCTTAAACATATTTCTTGAGAGGTTATTTTATATTCATTAAGCTTCATGTTGTGCTTAAAACAGTTTTAAACAACATGTAGTCAGAGCAGTGCTGCACAGAAGTAAAGAGAGACATGAAGTCAAATGTCTTTTCTAAGCAGAGTAATGAGTAATATGAGAGGCATCATTATGGATGTGATTGGATGAGAAAATGCAATGATCTGAACAAAACCAATTACAATTTCTTTTTGTGACAGAGATGAGCTGTGTGTGCCTTTGTGACTGAATGGTTCCGACCCAGCACTTTGCTGCATGTCTCCCTCCGCTCTCCCCATTTCACACTTGAAAATCATGAAAATGAAAATTGCCTAATAAATATCTTTAAAATAAAAACTATTAAAAAGCTTTACAAACACATCATCAAACCCTATAAGATAAATTCATCACCCTGAGCATGAAGAGTATGTGCACATTGCCTGTCACATCACCAGTGTATTCATTTATTTTTGTACTCGTGTGTTTATGAAGACATGCATATGTGTACAATCATTTCGTAACTACATTTACCTGGTTGTTGAGTTGGTCGTGGTTGTCTCCTAACCCAGGCATCACCTCTCTCTTGGGGCTGCCGTGGTTGTGCCTCTCCGCCTCTCGTACGTGACCCAGCTGCTCATCCAGGGCTTCCTTCTGGAGCTGAAGCTTCTGGGCGTAGCCAGCCTGCACCCCCAGCTCCCTCTCCAGAGCACACACAACCCGGTCCTTCGCCTTCAACTCATCCATCTACAGAAGGGATGAACAGAAGGAGGGGTGAATGGATTAAATCCCACTAATAGCCCATATTAATATGACTGAAAATATCCATAATAAATGATACACATATTAGCACACATATTTCTGAGATGATCTACTACATGAATCTAATTTAAAGTAAGCCTAAGTTATAGTGTTTACTAGTTTTACCATCAATGTGCAAGTATCCAGTTTAAATGGGTTTAGTGTGATATAGTTTTATCACGATCACATTTCTTCACCCTCAGTTTAACACGATCTTGGCTCCAATGACCGTGAACAGAACGAGGGCGTGACAGTGTTTTAGCTTTTAAAAAGTCACCCTTCAGGATTTATAAAGTTTTGTTCTCGCTCTGTGTTAGCACAACTTCTTCTGACAAAGGTTCCCACTTCTATTTCCCAGCACATTGTGTTTTTTAACACTGGTATTTCCTGCACTGCCTCCTGTCCATCAATCAGCCACGCTTTATCATTTTACTACAAGTCTCAAACATTACTTTCCACACTACTATAACATGTATTATTGTTAGTAATGTGTTCAGTGAGTGGCTGAAGCAGGTATGAAGAATTTTATTTTGGCAGATAAGCACCACGTGATGGGATAGTGCAGCAGTTAGATTCCAACCCTAATGCAACGTTAATGAGATAAAACTCTGAGCTGCAGGAGGGATGTTGTTATATCAAAATGTGTTCAGGACAGAAAACTACTATAAAAAACATCTGCTGGGTTTTAGTCTCATCTGCCATTGAAGAGTAAGAGTATATAGTTTATAGGGCAGTGTAAACTTTGTCTTTTCGTATGTCATTTCTATTCCGTAATTTAATTCAGGACATCTCGTTGTGATGGACATGACAGTAAACAGTCTGCAGATCATATAAGGCCCTGGAAAAAATCTGTGTGTTTTGTACCAGGACGGCTTTAAAAACATTTTCTTTTAGAAAATGATCATGACAATTGTGGGATCGTTTGGTAACTTTTTCTAAAATCTGATCAAACTATAGTCACAGTCCTGATGAGGCAGATTCAGACATTGTGTCTTTGTTAAACACTAAATAATAATAAGTGTTTGATATGCATTATTTGTCTGTTATTTGTCGGGATTACAGAAACAATACTGGACAGATTATCAGAAAACATACGAGTCAGAGGAAGAACTCATTGAATGTTGGTGTGGATCCAGGGCAGGGGCAGAACCAGGATTTGTTTTCCTTTCTCTAATTTTGGTGTGTGTAATTTGGTGTGTATGTATAATTTGGTGTAGATCCAAATAAAATTCCAGATCTAGTGACTGTGATTGTGGTTTCTAATAATCTTAATGATGATGATTTGTTCTGTAGAGAATGCCTCACCAATCTGCGGATGTCTCTCTCACAGTCCCGTTTGATTCGATGCACCTCATCTTGGTGCTGCTGGTAGGCTGTGCGGAGATCTACTGCTTTCGCTTTATCGGCCTGCAGAGCGTTTGCAAGAGCTTCGTCAGCCTGCTTTCTGGCTGTCTTCTGTTCCTGGATCTAAAACACCACATGCAAGATAAAATGAATACACTCAAAAAACAAAGAGAGTGACACTTGTGCATTTATAAACACATGTCCTATTCCATTAAACTGTTGTAATGATAGATGCTTTGTTGGTCTGGAGGGCTACAGTGAAACAATGACTTGGCAACAGGCTTTTCCACCCTGTTTCCTGTTTTTCAGCAGCAAATTTACAAAGGTTTAACCAGTCCGACATCAACACACACATTCAGTGCATATTCGTGTACACTCACATGATCAGAACACCAACTCTCCATAAAGAGATGTTTGCCTTTATCTAAGAAAACCAGCAGCCCCAGAAAAAATAAGATCCACGGTTTTGTGAGGTGAAAGCCCCACTACAATGAAATCAGTCTTCAAACTTAAAAGAAATAATAATTTATTGTGAAAATTATCGATATTGACTGACATGAACAATACCTAGATATTATTTTTAGTCGTATCATCCAGCACTACTCCTGACATATGCAAAGACAAGGAGAGTTTTGAGCTGAGCTCGACATTATGAAAATCCCACATATGGTGTGAAAGCAGGAACAGGATTAGGATTACACTCAGAGTGTTATCACAATTCCACATTTCTAGAAGCATAACAAACACTGTGACATATATGCTCATATGTATTCTCATATAAGCTGTCACTTATATGCTACAACCTACCTCCTGCTGTAGCTTTATCCTCTCCCCGTCGAACGCCCTCCTGGCCTCCTCCCGAGCCTCTCCAAGAAGAGCGTTTTTGAGCTTATCTGCAGCTCCATCTCTCAGTGCATTCACAAGCCCCTGTAGCCTCTGCACCTCGGTGTCCCGGATCTTAATGGACCGCGCAAGCTCGACTTCGTGCTGCCGCACCAGGGTCTCACGCGTGACCGCTATTTCCCGTAGCTTTTCCTCGTGGAGTTTGGCGCGCAGGTCAGTAAGTGCCACGGCATGTTTGTGCTGCTCGAGCTCCCGAGCCTGTCGCTGCTCCTGGAGCCGCTCACGGAGCTTACATACCTGGGTGAGGGAGACACAGTAAGCAAGGAAACTCCTGTCAAGCTAAAATTTTATATACTGTATCACCAATGTAAAATGGGTTCATCCATGTGCACAGTGATAACATTTTCAAGTTTATCCTGGCAGACTCAAACGTAAAGGAGATCAGTTTCTGTGCTTGGTTTAATAATTGCCAATACATTTGTGTTACATTTCAACACAAATTGTTAAATGAACAGATGCTTTTACAAATTACAGAGTGAATATGTTTTAAGCCTCAGGAACCAAACCCTGACGCAAACCTGGTTACCTCTGCCGAGGAGGTTATGTTCTCATCAGTGGTTTTTTGTAGGATTATGCAAAAACTACTGAACCGAATTCAGTGGAATTTTGTGGAGGTGGTGGAACATGACCTAAACAAGAACTGTCTAAATTTTAGAGCAGAAACATGGCGGAAAGGGTGTTAGCCTAGCGGAGGTATGTGCTCTCATAGTGCCCTTCTAGTTGTACTACTGTGATTTTATGACTGGTTGATGAAAGCATTCAGAGGTCTGAGCTCAGAGTGCAGTCACCATTATTAAAGCTTTGAATTGAATATGAGCTACAAAGCATTTTCTATTCTCTTGTGAATGTGAGCCTGCATTAGTAGGTGAATCATTTCTGATTATTCTTTAAAAATGGCCATTCTCTTCTTCCTCTTCTTCTATTGTGTTGATCTAGAGGGCACTTCCTCTCTGCCATTATTTCTCTTCCTCCACCTCACCTTGCCCCGCTCCTGCTGCACCTCGATTTGGACGTCCATAAGTTTACTCCTCAGCTCCTCATTGGTGGCCTGCACCGAGTCGACCATCACCTCCGGCTTCTCCAGCTTCCTTCCCTTCTTAAGGGGTGGTGCCGCAAGGGGTGTGGTCGATGACATAGCACTCTGGCCGCCCAGTCAGGACGGACACAGAGTACCAGGTGTGGCTAAACGGAGGGGGAGAGTCAGTCACGGCTGCTGCTGCTCCTCCTCCCTACGAGACCCTGCATCATCATCATCATCATCATTGTGTGGTTGTCAGGTCTACATCGTTGCTGGAGGAGTTTCTGTTTGAGAGAGACAGACAAACAGAGGAAAATAAAAGAAGGAAAAAACGTGACTCAGCGTTAAAAAAAATTGGGTTACACTTAACTACTCAAAATGCTGTGGACCCAAGCCACATGACGCACTTCAGCCTGGGGGAAAACAGACTATTTTTGGGACATTTACACTCTCCTCTGTCACCCTCTCCTCTCTCACTTTATCATCGGACTATTGCAGAGTCCCTGGGCTGCGCTTAGAGGCTCCACAGTGCATGAAAATGTGTCTGGACTGGCCTCTACAGTCGTGGTCTCGAGCCTCTAACATCTCACTGGACCGGTCTCTCACACTGCAGACTGATAAATTCGTCTTTCACTGTCATGAGTCTTGACATTCCTCGGCCCAGAGATCCTATAATGTGTTCCTGTCATAAAGAAGAAAGAGGAGGCTGAGAGTCCTGTACAACTGCACTACACAAACCGGGGCCATACAAAATTATTTAAAATAACCTCTTCCTTTTGGAGCTGTATTTTTCAGCATATTTCAATAGATGTGATGGACAGATGTTACTACGATGACACACATTCATTGAGCTGTAAGCAGAGTCTTCTAATCTCTTCATGGAATGAATTGTAACCCAGTAACCTTCTAGTCTTTCTGCTGACTATAAAATAAATAATGCAAAGATGAGTGAGCTGGAGCATTAAGACCGCAGGCGCCTGCATCTTTTTCTACACACACGTTACCAACCATTCATACAATATACACAGATGGCAGCAATAGTTACCAAGGCAACCATTGCTCTCAAAAAACGTTCCTCTCGTAGCAAAGGATGATGGGAAGGGGAAGTCTGCCATTGGACATGGTGCATGCACGCACACAACTGCGTCGCATAGGGGCTGCACATTTGTATAAAGGCACATGCATACAACGTGCACACATGATGTTGTTATCTAGTTCAATCTCTGCGCTGAGGTTGACTGAGAGACAGAAATGCACTGGTGCTGGAGGGCAGGCGAGCTTTCTTCCACATGGATTTTTTTTTAATAGCACGTACACAGAGGAGATCAGAGAGGAAACAAACGAGAGAGAAGAGATTAGAGAGGGGGAAGTAAAGAGCAGAAGAAAAGTGAAAAGAAGAACAAAACTACCTCTCACTCCAGCAACCATCTCCATCTTCCCCTCTCGCATTCTCTAACCTCTCTACATCCTGTCACCCCCACTCACTGGCCTGGTGATATTACCGAGCACAGGCGATGCATGATTTTGCTCTCATTCAGAGTGAGAAAGAAAGAGAGAGGCAGAGAGACATCATTCACATAGAGAAAGAGAGAGAGAGAGCAATGACACAAGCACACATTCTATGAGTCTTAAACAACTGGGGACAGATACAGTTGACGTCTATTCACAAAGGCGCCAAAGCTCTCTACACCGACAACTATTCATTTAAAGAAGGAGTCAATAAAGCTGTGGTCTGCTGGGATTTAAACATCCAACACTGCCACTGTTCTCAGCGTGTTCGTGCATGTTTGTGCCATAAACTGAGACCAGATGTACCCAGGCTAAAATGGCTGATGGATGCTTTCACTGGTTTTCCCTCACAGGGCAAGGAGGTGCATGTTCATGTTCCCAACATCTGGATGCAACAAAGGTACATCTGAAATGATCTGTTGCATGTCAGTCTATGTGTTTAAATATCTGCCATCACATATATTTAAGGTCAGAGTCTATGTATAACCTTTTCTTGCAACTCTACAGACTTCTTGGTCAGTGTGTTGCACATACAGTGTGTGTAACAATAGTAATTATACAGTTGCAACATAAGTAACAATATGCATTTGGAAAATGTATTATAATTATACAAAATATTTGTAAATAGTTATTAACTAACAAAACAAAAAAAACAAACCCAATAAACAATATGTGGAATGTTTGACAAAGTTCTTTAACCCTACATCCACTTTTAGGAGACCCCATCTGATAAAAGGGTGGTGTCTCAATTCAGGGGGTGCACTGGAGGCTGTATTTGAAGAAGAATGAAGAATGGGTGGATCCTTCTCAACCTATCCTTGGATTCATTGGGCTTCTGTGACAAACCATCACACCATTAAATAATCCTTTTTTCAACATTTTGTCAGTCGCTTGTAAAGCACTTTGAACTGCAATTGATTTGTTTGAAAGGTGCTTTATGAATAAACTTTTGATTTGATTGATTTTTCAAAGAAGTAATGGCACACGACGAGGAGCCTAATGAGCATCACACTTCAACTCAACCCAACAGCTAATGCTACACATGTTAAAGGGGCATTCAAACTTTCTTGTTGTGTCCAACTTCAGGCAACAGCAGCAAAGATGGGACGAGCTGGTGACGCTGATCACAGAAAGCCTCTGTAGACCAGACCGTCTCATTTTGGTCATTCAAGGGAGACGCACATAACATTCTGGTGACATGACATTCTGGTTCAACAAACTTGTGTATATAAGCCCCTCTGTTATTTGTTTGTACGTTTATTCACTGGTTGAAAGTTTATTCACTGGTTGAAAGTTTTTGTGTAATGTTCTGACATCGTTATATTTGTGTAAGGGCTCCATTTGTGTACAAATCTGACAGGAGGATTTTGTTGTTTGATCACCTCCCATTACACTTTACAATGGTCTGGCTCTTTCCATCAAATCACAACACAGACAATGCTTTAGTGTCCACCAGTTACATACACACACACACACGTATGCCATCAACCTTACACAGTTCCCACAAAACCGTCAGCAGCCACATGTTCCCAAGCTGGACGCCAAGAGCTCACTGAAACTTTATAGCTCGTGGAAAACCTGAAACGTTATATAGGAAACAGGAACATTTTATAGGGGCACCGAACAGCTAACAAGCACCTTTTAATGTTCACAAAGGCAAACAAAAGCCAGCACAGGCCATGGACCTCAAATCACCTCATCCACTCCAAATATAAACAGCCAGCGTGGCAGGAAAGCCTTAAAGTGCAGGTCAAGTTCAATAGACAAACCTCACAACCCAGTTGTCATCATTCATGGCGAAAATCTCTGACTCATCAAATCAATCACAAAGAATTACACGAGTTGAGTAATACAGCAACGAAACATACACCATCGAGGCCCATTTAAATGTGGCTCATGTAGCACTGAGACAATCTGCTTAAACAAACAATGGAGCTAAACCACTTCATGGTCACTGCAGGAAAGACGTGATGAGGAAATTCTGCAGCTGCCGAAGAGTTTCACAATTAAGCTAACTGCTGCTTAAGAGCTGGACTCTCTCACCCTCAGGGCCACCGTAAAAATGTCAGCGACAAAATGTGTCCGTCAGCACCAATAGAGTTAAACAGTAAGTAAAACGTAACATAATGGAGGCTCAGAGGTGAATACTTAGCGGCCACTGGATCATGTAACATTCCTTCTTGTGAGGTGTGTGTGTGTGACAGACACCACTGTGTGAAATGATGGGTCAGTGCAGGGATACACACGGTCACTGGTTGGTTGGTGTACGGTTTTACCTTTTAAAGTTGTGTCTTTATATGAGCAATCATAATTTGTGTAATAAATATCAACAATAAACTCTAAAACATGTCCCTGAAGTAAAATACTTCAGCAGCTGGAGACCGTCTGAAGCCGTTACTAATAAAATGCAATAAAAAACATGTCATATATCAGTCGGTAATAAAACTGTAACCAATTCTGGGACAAAGAGTGTCAGTGATCATGAAACTTTCCAGTCATTAGCAACACAACAATTCAATCAAACATAAAATGACTAAATCAAACCATGCTCATTTTCTACTGTATCTCTGTCAATCATCACCGAATGAATTACTCTAGTTCTTCTTGTGAAAAGCCAAGTTTTTTTATGTAATTCCCAGATTTCCTACTTCTCACATGTGCCCTCTATGTTTGTGTTGATTAAATGATGAATATAAAATAAGTCTTGTGGAACATACAGTGACTTCATGAGAAAAACATGGCGCACAGTATCAGTAACTGACTACACAATAAACCGAATTTCTTTGTGCCTACTTGCAAGTAATACAAACGTCTAACAATAATGTACCATTAGGTTGGATGACTGTTAGTGTAGAGTAGATAGGTTATAAATTAAATATTACAGAAATGTTGGGTAGACAGTACACACTTCTTTGTAGTGGTGACAAGCTTAATAGACACAGATGGACCTCCCCAACGCTAGACAGACCACACACACACACACAGTGTCAAACATTAACTAGACTCCACTGAGACATTCTGGCCCAATAAATACATAAAAGAGCTGCAGACGAGAGCTGAAACAAAGACTCTGCACTTCTCTGGTTAGGTTATCTACAGTGAGGGTGTGGACAGACACAGATATGTTCCTGTTTATACAGTAGTATATTCTTTCTGCAGCAGGTATGGCCAAACACACACACCCAGCCATCTACAGACACACTTTAAGACACTGCCGATCCCGTTGAGAGGCAGAGTAATGCTGCCAAGTGCAATAGTGGAGCATATGACCTAAAATGTACTTTCCCTGCAGAGTGACTACAAGCTGGTGACCCTGATGACTAGTCAACCCAAACACATCGACCTCAGTTGTGCTCTTGCAACTTTTATCACTCAGGTTATATATCCAGCAATACCTCGGTTTGTATCTATGTGTGCTTTTGCATGCATGGTTGCATTTCTGTGTTAGCAGTGATAGCTGCCTCTCCCCTCTCCTAAAGACATGATAGTGCAGTCAATGATGTGATTAACCTCGCCTCTCTCTCTCTCTCCGTCCATACAGAACATTAGTACTGGCTGGCTGCTATTTAACCTCTGGCTTGCACATTACAGACACTTCCTCACTCTCTCTGTATTAGTATTAAAAGAAGGACGATTCCGACGGGTCTTCGTGGAAGCATTACACTGAAGGTGGCAAAGAGAGAGGAATATAGTGTAACCCATGGGGAGGATAAGGGTGTGGAGCAGGAGATGGGATGATGAATAAGGGATAAATGGGATAAATTCCATTAGGAGAGTTGAAGAGAAGAGGCAAGGGGAGAAGAGGAAGAGCCGGAGAATGACTCTGCTCAGTCATACTTTCCATAACAGATTGTAGGGTTGGAGAAAGAGTGAAACTATACCCTGAAACCATCATAAACAGACCATGACCTTATCTTGTTGACGCAATAATTATAGTCTAGCTCCATTTCCTGCATCAGAGTTGTCCAACATGTAAAACCAGCACAGTGTGAATGATAGTTTGTGCAGCACAACATGACAGGGCTGATCAAACACAAGTGAGCGTCTGCAACACATGTTGGCTGTCCACTGAGGCAGATTTACAGCCTCCATGCGGAGCAGCAGGGCTGATGTGACAGACAGCGGCCCTGTGGGGAAACACACACGGTGCAATGCAATGCTGCTGCAGGAGATGCTGGGGTGAGTCAACGGAATGTGGCCGGCTCTCTAATGAGCTGTCAAATGGGCGATTAAAAGGTTATGGAGTGCTGCTGGAGTCAGAGCTGACAACCCAACCACACCCCACGGCCATATGCGTGGGGCCGCTGCAGCATCCTCCTCTTCCTCCTCCAGCAGACAGAGGTCGGATGTCCTTGCATGCAGGCTGCACGGTTTAATGTGTTTGAACCACTGTCATGGTGCAGCATTGCTGGCGTGACCACAGGCTGATGTGGTGGTGCATATCCCCCCACTTAGCCTCCTTGATTCCGGGAGGAAGCCTCGGTAACGAGACGGTTAGGATGGAGGAGGAAAAGGAGAGCAGCTCCGTCTTTGGCCTGGGATGCAGCCGAGTACTCTCATCCCTGTTCTGGGTCGAGCTCATCTGCAGACACCGACACCCAGGTCTGATGGAGCCGGGTCTCGCTGCTCCTTTAGCGGATGGAACGCGGCTGTTTCACGCGTGTCACTGACGCAAACCGCATCTCGCAGCTCACATTGGACTCACTTAGAAGTTACGAATCCCGGCGGAACCGGACAAACTTACCAGAAATGGAGGCGGCCCGGTGCTCACAAGTGGCCTGATGTTGAAGCGTCGCTGCCCGCCTCACATCCAGGAAGAGGCGGCGGGAGGGCGGCGGGGCTCCGGTGTGTGGAGGAGGAGGAGGAGGAGGCACCGAGAAGCCGCAGAAACATCCACCATGAACAAGTTTACTCCCGGTGAACTTCAGTCTCCCGTGGTGGACAGACTCGTCTCCTCTCAGCTACACACAGCTCCGCTTCTCCTCCTCTCGCGCTGCACGTTGACATTTCCCTCCACGCCCACACACACTCTCACACACACACACACACACTCACACATACATACACTTGAGTGACGTCATACGTTCCCATACGTTTCATCCAGTGGAAATAAAGAAAGAAAGAACCGGTGTCTGTGTCTGTGTCCGCGTCGACGTGAACGTGGGGTGAAAAAAGGAAAAAGCTGGCGGGCGTCGCCGGTAGCGTGAACCAAGCGCGACACCTGACTGCGTGTTCAAGAATGACACCGCGCGCGATTAATGCGTGAGCACGCAGCCCCGTGCGGAAGGAGACACGTGCGGCGTCAGTGCGTAAGGTGGCACCGCAGATACCGCATACATTTCGTTTATTTGTTCGTTTGTTTATTTGTTTGTTTGTTTGTTTATTTATTTATTTCGCTGTGTATATATTGCCCACTCAGTTGTCAATGGAAATGATGGAGCAATGGAATGCTTTAAATAAAACATTGAGTTCAACATAAATATATATAATGCTCTTATCGATAAGAGGAGAAAAGAAGACTGGAAACCAAAACATTTCTGATTTTGAATATATAAATATCCCAAAAATAAATAAAGAAAGAATATACTATTTACTGGTAACCAATGTTGTCATAGAAACAAATATATCAAATAAGGCTAAATTGTCCTGTGTCTATATGATGTATATATTGTGTATATGTACTGTTATTGTATACAGTTCTCTTTAAAGCTATCAATGAAAAGCATGGAGTGACTGTGATGTCAAAAAGATACTGAATTTAACATACGAATATTTATAATTCTGAAAAGAATGAAGTCAGAAATAAGAGATATTAAGAAGTGAGTTTAAGATGGGAAAGCAAATATTTCTGGGAATGAATAAAGAAATATACCAATAAGATAAAATAATAATAATAATAACATATTCTAGATACTATCACGTGTCTCAGTCGTCAAATGAGACATTAATAAAACATTTATGCCTTAAACATTAGTTGCCTTAACGATGAATAAATATTGATGACTAGGAACTTGGGATATTATTATATTTATTTATAAATAACATAATATGTAGTTTTGAATGTTATCAGCACTCTTGATATTTTGTATTTTGTACTTATTTTGTACCTAGCTGGTTGCTTTAATGTTATCAGGACAACTAGTAGGTATGGATGAGTAGTGTCTATCAGTGAACATTTTTATTAATCAGGATATTATTAAAGGGCCTATTTAAATATAGAAAATGCAATGTATCATTTCTAATGTATCGGCACACTGTATTTTATATTGTGTTATTTTAGATTGTTAGATCATTTGATGATGATGATGATGATGATAGATTATGTAAGAGCCTATTTTCATGCATAATTGTAATAAGAAGTGTTTTCTTCAAATAAATGTTATTAAAACTTTTTTCATCAAACTCATTTTTCGTGTCTGGATCTTCATCCATGTCAGTGCTGCACAGCAACTGAATCAGCTCCAACCAAAGGTGCCGACTGCAGGTCTGTGTGTTCAGTTTTTATCTGGGACAAGATGACTCGAATCACAAAAGTAGGTGAAATAATCTGACAATATGAAAGTGGTGTGAGGCCAGAGTGACCCAGATTCTGGAGGATGCATTACTTCCGCACAGCTGCCTGTCTCTGCCTCTCCACTCTGCGCCGGTCTGTCTGCCATTCATAAGCTGCACCACTTCACCACAGCATATACAGCCTATTGCTGCAGGGCAGTGTTGATCATAGAGAGTGGTAAAAGGAAAAAGAAGCCCACAGTCAGGGATGAGTTTCAATACTCTGCATCATGTCCTCTCCTGCAGTGGTTGCTGGAGTCCCGGTGGTGTTATTTATATGCACGGGACATTTCTGAGTGAGATAAAAGTGGTTGAGTTTGAAGAGAGCTATCTGCAGCTCCATTCAGGTTCCTGCTGAGGCCAGCACACACACACACACACACACACACAAACAAAAAACACTGAGGTTGCAGGCAAAGTGTTGTGAGGAGAGGAAGGCATGTGTGTACTCTTTTATGGGGCTGAAGAGTTGACTCAGAGAGTTGTCTGAGTAATGGTTGATAGTCACATTTAGACTAGCATACCAAAGCAAAGAAAGAGAATAAAGAAACTTTTGCCATTTTGCATCACCTCATGATTAACAGGACAACAACAATTACTCAGGATGTCACCAGAGTCAGCTGATAATACTTTAATGAGGTTTTAAAGTGATGGAATTGGTCAAATCCAGAGCCTGAGTTATGGGTCACTGACTCATAGGTCAGGTTGTAGATTCCCTCATGGGAAACTGTCTCATCCATTAGCAACAATAACAGTGGATCTTGTTATTCAGACCATTCCCATTACTTTGCCCAGTTGAGAGGAAGAAGGTAATGAGAAGAGTTACTGTTTTGAATTAACTTAACATAATCATCTTAGGTTTTCAGCAGATCCATCAGAGCTGTCCATAATAAGCTTAACATATTCATGACTGCCGACAAATCAAACTTATTACAGCTTTTAGAGGGAATCCAGTTAGTATTATAATGCTACAAACACACACACACACACACACACACACTGAGTCAAACATTGGACACTTTTCTTAGGAAATTTCCAAAGACAGTCAGTCACCAAACTGACCTATTTTCCACAATGTAAACCGAGTTCAGAGTCTGCTAACGGTGACGTAACATTTTAATATGAAGGTAATTAGGTTTTCTGGGCATGAATCACCACTGTTAGTCACTACAAAATGTGAGTCTGATGTTCCACGTCCATCCCCAAAAACTTCATTCACTGAATGAACACAACAAGACAACATGCTCATGTGGAACATTTATTACTGTTTGGATTTGTGGAAGCTTTTCAAACACAGGAACAAAGAACTAATAGTTTGTGGTAGGAAAAAAAGCATGAATAAGGAATTTAATAAGTATCCTGTTGTAAAAGTTCAATTGGATAATTGGATAATTCAAGCTGCAGATTCACTTTTATTGCCCACATCAAGAATCATGACACAGCGAGAGCTAAGGAAGAGATGATGGACTTATATTAGTTATCGTTCCAGCAGACAGGATTTATGACATTATTAATTTAACTGTCTTTGGTAATGTTTAATATCTAAATGAAAACAGAGAGAAATCTAAATGGCCCAGACATAAACAGTTGTGGCTAAACATTCCTCTGTGCACAACTACTGCTGCTCTCCATGGTGTGTAACTTCATTTTGGTTTTTCTCTGCCACATTTTCACATTGGCCTCAAAATAGCAGCCGATCAATACAAAGAGGGCTGGCAGCAGAAGAAGTGACACAACCCAGGGGAGGGAGCTGGAGTTTTCCCCGGTGGAAAAAGTGCAGAATGTGCCAATGATTTAAACACGGCAGGAAATTCATAATGAGGGATTAAAAGTAAAAATAGCTCATGTTCTGTGGTGAAGTGTGAGTGTCACCAAATTTACACGAGCCACATTTATTCCTTGCCTGAGAAATGAAGGAGTTTCCTGGAGCTGATTGAATGGCAGCATTTACAGTTTTTTTGTATCGTGACAGAGAAAGCTGGAATAATATTAACAGTTTTTAAAACAACTATTTTAAATCCTGAAAACTGATCAGAGTGAATCTCCAAAGGTCAGAACAGTCACTGTGCTGCCTTTGTGATGACAATACTCGCCCTCACTGCAGTCAATGCCCGGCCTCACATAACCAGCTCAGTAATGACCACATTGTAAATAGATGTTGGTGATGACTGTGACGGTCTTGGGCAGCGGCCCTGTGGCCTGAACAAATCTGTAAGAGGATTAACATAATCAAACAATCTGGAATCATAACAAGCTCATTATGAGAAATATCTGCTGTATCTTGAGCTGCCTGCTTAATTTAGAGGAGAATTCCATTTGTGTGAGTGCGTGTGTGCCTAAGTCCGTTCAAAAGACAGATTGCCTATTTATAGATTGAAGGTGTGCATGTGAAAGACCACAGCCAGCGTAAGGGCCCTGTTTATCTCCTGAACTGGATTGAGTTAATCTACTAATCGGGAGGCATTTACATAACTGCTTCAATGTAGCAGCAGTTAAGCAATTACTGCCCCCATTTCCTTCTTTTCCCACAATGAGGCATCTATCTGCTCTCAGTCCCTCCTGACTCTTACTTTAATTTGCTCTTTCCATTGACTCCTTCTCTTTTCATGTCTTATTTGTTGTCTGGTTTATTTCCTGTTTTGCTTTCTGAACTTTGATGTGATGTTTTCCTCGTCTGTTTAACCAATGCTTCTGATGGTAGGTTGTTCTGTGTGAGCAAAGAAACTGCACTGCGGTGAATATTACACTCAAAACATACATTTGGAGACGACCAGTTTTCTCTTCACGTGACGTATGGTTTGGATCACGTAATAAAACTGTTTTTGTTGGAAAAACACTGAATCCAAAATCAAATCAAATTGCATAGACTTTAGTTGTCAGACTTTTCTTACATTTTCAAACAATACACATTGCTCCTCTAAGTATATTTCCACAGCCAATATGACTTTAAGATATCATGTATTGCAGCGGTAGGAAAGTAGGACCCATGGGCCAAAAAAAAACCAAAACAATAATAGTAATTACCCCCAAGAAAAGCTAAAGTTCTACCTTTTATAGTTGTCATCAAAATGTTCTAATCAAATTCATCAAATTCTTTTTATTGTATGAATTGTTCATGTGCCATCATATACAACCTTAAATCAACACTTTTGTAAATATAATTTATTTTAAAAAATCAAATGCAAAGTCATGGACTTAATTTTACTCCAGACCTCAATTACAAAAATTGTGTGCAGTATTTATTTTACAATAGAGATGAACTGCACAGTCAAAGCTTGTATGGACAATGGAAATAAAAAATAAATGGACATGAAAACATAGAATAAACATTTAATTTGAAATTCCATTAAACTGTTTGTTTGTTTGCAACTTTCTAAATCCACATGTAAATAAAAAACATGTCATGCACTGCCCTCTCCTGGTAGGAAACTAGTATGACTCTTTGCAAACACAAAACAGAAACCGAACAATGCTAGATAATAACAGAGCAGGTCTTTAAAACACTATTTTTATAAGTTTATAAATCTATTTTCTAATGATCCTATTGAAACAGTTGTTCAGAAACAGCAGCAACTCGACCTGACGCTGGAGATTAAAGCACAAATGTGAAACTTCCAGTGACTCGATGGTCGATTGCTCAGGACTGAGAGAAAACGCGTGCGCTTTAAGTCACCGTAGCCAATCACATCGCGTCTGGAGA